TTCATTTTCCCTGGCGGCAATGGGTTAACTTGCAAGGGAAATGTCATAAATGAAAAGTCTTATTTTGTTCTTTACTTTTGTTATTGTTACTATTATTATTACAGATTGTATGTTACTTTCATATTGAAAGCATTTGATCCAGAAACAAAATTATGTGCATGGATGCAACAAAATTTACATGCTGCCTCAAAACAAGTGTTGCACCAAATATAGCATACCAACATTCTTTCCTATAACCAATTACCAAAATGGACTGCTATCAATGTCACTGCCAGTAAATTTGCCATATATATTTTCTTATCCTTAAACTCTTTAAAAATATAAAAAAAAATGTTATTGAAAATAATGATGAACACTAGAAATTACTTATATTGTGTTTTTTTAATTGTAGGAAGTTCTTATACTGTATTACAAATATACTTAATTTGCATGGTTGTATTGCCTCATGTAGAGGTATATGCGGCTTGAGGTATGAAAGCTCATTTGTGTTTGTCATATTATTAACCCAGGGAATGTTCATCATGTAGCCTACATAATTTGCAATAATTTTAATAAAAACAGAAAACATTCAGGTATAAAGCAATTTCGTTTATAAATAATGTTGTAGGAAGTTAATAATGAAATATGTCACAGAAGCGAATTAATCCTATCACTTTGTTTCAGTGATCGAGCAAGAGAAGGATCTGAAGACAACAGAAACATTGGTACAGCTGTGACACCAGAAGTGGAAGCAGTTCTGAATGTCATCAGCCCATGTAGGTATTTCTAAGCAATATTGTTCAACTCATGTCAGAGTTTATGCTGTTGAGATGGTTAGGATATTTTGTCCAAGGTAGTAGAAAAGCACTTGCTGAGTGTTACAGTCTGTCATGTGTATTTTTAGTTTTTTAGATGTCAATGAAATTAGAGAGAGATTGGATTGGTAATTGACTCTTCATTGAATAAGTATCTGTATGTAAATAATTAATTAACTAAAGCCACACTGGACCTGGCAAATATGCCATGCCATCCCAGCCCAAAGTAATAAATCATGTAGGTGGGACATCATAGACACTAGCAGAATACCTCTTTTCTCTTTATATTTGCCATTTCCTGCAATTTTGTTTACTTATTTATGTATTTCCTTACTTGTGTGTTCTAAATTTTCAGATGATGATGTGAAGAATGTTGTGGTAGATCCACAAGATATAGTGCCAGATTGTCTAATGCCAGAAGCTTCTGCAACAACAAACTCCAATATCAGAATGGAGAATTTTCAGACCAGTCAGTCATCTGCTTCTGACAATTCCCAGAACTGTGAGCAGCCCTCTTATTATGAAAAGCCAAATGCTGACTTAACTGCCAACATAGGACCCTCAAGGCGAACAAGAAAACAAAAAATGGACCAGCTATGTGATCAAGATATCTTATTAGCTCAGTTGCAAATGCAGCAAGCACAGTTGTCAATAGAAAATTTAAGACTGGAGAGGAAAACACTTCAGGAACGATACCAACAACAAAGGGAAGCTCATGAATGGCAGAGAGCACAGCATGAAGCCAACTTGAATTTAGCCATGTTGCAAATCAAATTTTGGGAAAAGAAAACTGGATATGGTGATATGGAAACATGAACTTGGGTCAAGAAATATGCTGGGGCAAAATTATGCTGAAAGGATATTTTGATCTTTGAATTGTTGACTATTGGAAGTATTAGCAGCAGTTATGACTGTCAGATTTATTGGGAGTACCTGAGTTAATCATGATCTTATACTAAATGTTATAATAGTTTTTAACTGTTTTATGTTATATATGGTTTGTAATAGTGAATTTATTAAAATCTAACTTCTTTGTTGACAACAAAAATGAGTTTGATAATGTGTTACACATTGTGTATTTTTGGATACGTTAACCATTCTAGTTTTAATAAGAAAATATATAAGAATAGACATATATACAAATACATATATTTTTGTTATATTATGCATTGTAATGTGTGCAGGATGAAATCCAGAAACTGTAATGGATTGCAGTTGTTCACAAAGTAGCTTTACTTCTAAAGTTAGAAGGTAATGAGTGATTATTTACACGATGATGCTAATAACTGGGTATCTAGTGATATTCAGCAATATAGAATTACAAAGGCTTTACATCATAGGAAGGGCTGCCATCTCTGAATGAGGGAGGCTACATTACTCCCCTGACAAGCTCAGGGTGACTGGTGCTTATACTGATAAACATATTTGAGACTATAATGGGTAAATGATGCTTATTCAAGATACCTCAAGAGCTTGCAACTACCAGAAGCATTTCATCCAGATAACCAGAAGTGTACCCTACCTCAGAATAAAGGTGACTTCTACAATATTAGGTAATATAATATCACTTTTAACTACTTAATTCCTTCAATGTAGATTATTGAACAAGCTGTTGCATCTTCCATATTATTTTACCTTAGAAAGGCAGTGATTGTGATAAGACAAAAGATGCAGTGGTGAAGTTTCAGGCACCTAGGCCAGTGTTCACAAAAGGTCATAGAATTTACTTTGACAAATGTTAAGAACTCCTAAAAACAGTCTTTGACTACAAAATTTATCTATGACTCAGTCAAAAGACTTCTTAGAATTAGTCTCCGCTCTCCCAACACAAATTCGACAGGCATGGCATGTACATACATGCCATGTCCACTGTGAGTTTACTTTGTTTTTATACATAGATTTTCGAAAATATTTTGTTATCATATATATCCACAACTGAAGTCAATAAGATTATAGTAATTACAATGTCTATGATAAAAATAACACCATGGATATTCATAGCAATAGTAAAGAAAATTTCTTCATGCTAATTCAAGTTAAGGTAAAATCAGGCAAGGTCACAAGGTCTACTAATTGACTCCTTTGTGGCTAAGCAGAGCCATCTATGTGCAGAGACATTTAACAAAAAAAATAAAAATGAGAACAGCATTTTCCTAGCAGCATTGAGTTAACAGCTAATTTGAACTGATATTTATATTTTGAATGACCCTATAATGATAATTCAGTGAAATAAAATTACTATTGTAGTGAATTTCAATTATATAATGACTAACTTTAACTGAATCATAGACATGAAATTTGATGTCAAAGATAATTTCATAATGAATCCTCATAGTAGGTGTGTTTTTCTTCTTCTTTTTCTTCTTCTTCTCCTTCTTCTCCTTCTCCTCCTTCTCCTTCTTCTCCTTCTCCTTCTCCTTCTCCTTCTCCTTCTTCTCCTCTCTCCTCTCCTCTCCTCCTTCTTCTCCTTCTCCTCCTCCTCCTTCTTCTCCTTCTTCTCCTTCTCCTTCTCCTTCTCCTTCTCCTCCTTCTTCTTCTCCTTCTCCTTCTCCTTCTCCTTCTCCTTCTCCTTCTCCTTCTCCTTCTCCTCCTCCTCCTCCTCCTCCTCCTCCTCCTCCTCCTCTCCTTCCTCCTTCTCCTTCTCCTTCTCCTTCTCCTTCTCCTTCTCCTTCTCCTTCTCCTTCTCCTTCTCCTTCTCCTTCTCCTCCTTCTCCTCCTTCTCCTTCTCCTTCTCCTTCTCCTTCTCCTCCTTCTCCTCCTCCTCCTTTCTCCTCCTTCTCCTCCTTCTCCTCCTTCTCCTCCTTCTCCTCCTTCTCCTCCTTCTCCTCCTTCTCCTCCTTCTCCTCCTTCTTCTCCTTCTCCTTCTCCTTCTCCTCTCCTCCTCCTCCTCCTCCTCCTCCTCCTCCTCCTCCTCCTCCTCCTCCTCCGCGTCTCTCTCTCCGCGTCTCTCTCTCCGCGTCTCTCTCTCCGCGTCTCTCTCTCCGCGTCTCTCTCTCCGCGTCTCTCTCTCCGCGTCTCTCTCTCCGCGTCTCTCTCTCCGCGTCTCTCTCTCCGCGTCTCTCTCTCCGCGTCTCTCTCTCCGCGTCTCTCTCTCCGCGTCTCTCTCTCCGCGTCTCTCTCTCCGCGTCTCTCTCTCTCTCTCTCTCTCTCTCTCTCTCTCTCTCTCTCTCTCTCTCTCTCTCTCTCTCTCTCTCTCTCTCTCTCTCTCTCTCTCTCTCCTCTTTCTCTCTCTCTCTCTCTCTCTCTCTCTCTCTCTCTCTCTCTCTCTCTCTCTCTCTCTCTCTCTCTCTCTCTCTCTCTCTCTCGCTCTCTCTCTCTCAAAGGCAAAAATTTTGAAGTGTATGATCTTTCATGAATACTGCCCCTAGATCTGTTATTAATATGCAGCCATACCAGATATTCAGTGACTTTTATAATGCTGGTACTACAAAAATCACAGTGCATGTTATGCTGTAGATATTGTCATTTAAATGATGTTATTGAGAAGGCTTAATCCTGAGGAATGATGAAATAGCTATATATTAAGTTTTAAAATGATTCCAAAGGACTCTGTAATTTAATAGATATTTGTGTCACATGTTCTTTTTCTGAGTTTGTTTAAAAATGGTCGAATCTGCAGTTTCAGATTTAGACAGTTCTTTTATAAACTGCTTGAATAAACAAAGTCAAAGTTGAATAACTAAACACGTTCCCAGTTATGTTTAATTTGATACTCGTTCTCACTTCAAATGATTTATGATATAAAGTTATTGCTTTTGCTACAAAGATCTTCATTTTGTGTCTGTCATGTGGTATATATTTTTTTGTATATTTTCATATGCATATATTTTATTATGATTTTTTTTTTTTTAATAGAATTCTGTGTATTTATTATGGTAGATGCAGTTTTTATGCACATTTATGTTTCTATCTTTCTCCTTTTTTAGTTAAACCTCCACAGATGATATTTGATAAAGTGCAGATGCTATGTGACTTATGATAAGGTTATGTTCTGATAAACCCATTGTAAGGTTAAAATATATTCATCCAGAAAGACATTAATCACACCTATTGTAGTCTATCTTAACATGCTCAGAACACTTAGAGCTGCCTGTATTTAGATAAGTTATTCAATACAGTATTCATAAAATGCTAGCAACACAGATTATTGGTTGTTTACCCTCATGATTGAATAGTTGATTGGAAGTTGCAACATGCTGCTACTTCCCAATATCATGAGAGGGTATCATATTGCATGTTACTAGCCAAAATTAAAGTTAGAATTTGAAATACAAAATACTGTTCCTACAAAATACCCTCTGCTAGATGCGTAGCGCTTTTGCAACACTTTTGTACCATTATAAAGTTCAGAACATTTTGAATCATTGTTAGATAAGGAGAGTCTGTACTACAAACTTCAATTATCATGGCATTCACACACAAGGAAACACAAAGACACAGGCAAATGTATGCAAGAAACACACACACACACACACAAACAAAAAATCAAATAATCTATGTTACCCACTTTCATTTTCACAACCTCAGCAACACACATGCATGTATGCTACTTAACTTACACATACAAACAAGAATAATCTTATCTGCTGTTTATATATTGTGGGGCCACAAAGAATTCCATGGAAATTCCAGTATGTTGTTGTGTTACAAATACAAAAATAATGAATGGATAAATTGCTTCCTTGTCATGTAATCAAAATTTCATATCATAGATTATGTAAGCATATTTTAAAGGTGAAATTTATTTTGACTTATTCTACTGCCAGTGCAATAGTGTTTGGTTAATCCTTGGAGAAGGATAGTGAATGAATATTCTAAAGTCTATATGATATGGTTTGTGATAATAATAGATACATGTGATTTTTTTCTCTATTTTCTTCTATAATGAGGAATGAACTTTTTCTCTATTATATGAAAAATATATCAAGTTAAATGCCATTCATGTTTATTTAGTAAACATGAGTTTCGTCCACTTTTTTTTTTTTTTTAAGAAAATGTCTGTGATAAGACAATTTGTATGTACTTAGTCATTAATAAACATATAATGGGAATCTTTTGGCTTTTTACTAAAGAAATTTTAAGAGGTTACACAATGCTACTATCTGAGATGAAATGGTTGAGCCATAGCACAGAAGTATACACTGAAGAGTATTATTCTGTAATGTGTATTTTTGGTTTGAATGGAGATTTGGAAACCAGTTACAATTTTTGGCTATTAACCCATTCATAGAGCGCAAGGTATAAATATATCCTCTGCCAGTGAGTGTTAACTTTTTTTATGGGTGAAATGAAAGGGAATACATCAACTTTATTTTTTGTATTCTCATTATTTTAAAACTAAATTGGTGCCATAAGTACAGATGCCAAGAAAAACTCTTTTTATTGAACTTAATATCCTTTCCTACTCTGGTGGCAGAAAGTTCACAAAACTGAATTTTATTAAGTTCAATAAAAATAGTTTTTCTTGACACATACATGGCTTCACAAGTACTAAGCCACCAATAAGGCAGTTATGAGCACTTAACTCACCTGTTTACCATTATGATAATTATAATGTCTATAAAAATAACACTGTTGATATTGATAGCACTAGTAAAGAAAAATTCATCCAGATACTCGAGGAAAGGTGTGCAGCGACATGCTACAAAACAATACTAAGGTGAACACTACATTTTCCTGGCAGTTTGGGTTAAAACATAACATTAGCATCCTGTTCTTTCTTGTATTTCTATTCTGTTGGAGAAAATCTAGCTGATGAAGAATATACATGGAATACTCATGTGAAAATTCATATTTTCAATGCAAATATATGTTGAAAATAGCTTGCACACATTGTTTTGAGTAACTGCAGAAAATATTTAACAAAATTGTAACACAAGCAAATACAGATAGTCCCCTACTTAAGAACATTCTACTTATGAACATTCCATACATACAAAAAATTTTTTTTAAGTACTAAAGTCCAAAAAATTGTTTGAAAGATGCTAGCAAACTTCAAATTTCTCTGGTGCAAATATAGTTCAAGAGTCTGGTACTGTATAAGGTATGTTGTACTTATTGGGATTTATTTACAGGTATTCTTAATGTAAACAAAACTTTAGAACAATGGGAAAAAAGGTAATGGAGACCCAACTTTCGACATACAAACAAATCAACTTACAAACAGTCTCTCGGTCCCCATTATGTTCTTAAGTCGGGGACTTACTGTATGTAAGATGGTTTCTCATGTTATTTGCTCTTACACAGAGAACAGCTACATGGCATTGTACATTTCAAATACGTTATATTTTTTTCAAACTGAATCAGATCTTGAAAAGAAATATTCAAGGGATTATAAGTCACAGTATGAATACATAATTACAAATAAAAAATAGGAAAACAAAGAGACGTGGTTTTTTTCTTACCAAAAATACCTCCATATGGTGCTTATTTTACAATTTCTTTAAGATTTAGATTTCTTTGTTAAGTCAGGCTGCATTCCAATATCTTCCCTTAATGCTAATACAGATTATTATAATGTTATTGACATTACTAACAGCAATATAAGATACCAGAAAATATTTCCAAAAACTTAGGAAAAGGGTAGGTTGAGGTAGATTGTACTCGTAACTAGCTTATCTCATTAGTGATTTAATCTGAATTTTCTGGGGATGGCATGTACATACTTGCCTTGCCATAAAAACAGTTTATTAATTATTTTTACATATAGATAGCTCCACAAGTACTAAGTCACCATTGAACTTATTACAAGTAATACCTGTATCACCTGTTTACCCTTTTCCTTGATTTTTGAAAATAATTTCTGGTATCTAATATTGCTTTAAGTAATGTCAAGAACACTATGATAATTATGATGTCTTTAATAAAAATAACAGCACTGATACTGATAGCATTAGTAATTTTTTTTTTCCCCACAAACTCAAGGAAATATGAAATCAGGTGAGGTCATTACAAAGTTTACTAATTGACTCCTTTGTACTTGCAGTCATCTGTGTGCAGAGAAATTTCACAAAATACAACAGTGAACAAAATATTTTTCCAGGAGGCTTTGGGTTAACTATGGGATACCTTCAGTATTCATGTACTAAGACTAACACATCATTTTCTCCCCAATCCCTTGCTCATTGTTGATGTGGGGGGGCTTAAGAGGCAGAGACTGAGGCCCAGTGTAGGGGTGCCTTGGACCTCAGCCCTTGCCTCAACTAATTTTGCAGGGTGTTTTCTTCTCCCCCTTTCCTTTACCTTCTCTTCTTCATCCCTTTCTTCTTTCCACTCGTCCACATCATTAACTCACATTTACCCTTTTCTCCACAATACTTTACCATAATGCTGTGTGACCTTTGATGGCTGGTACATCAGTTCGTTTAGACCATCAACTATTTTGGAAATCCACAAACATCACTTTACTGAACCAAAAGACTTTCTTACCTGGGGGCTTTTCTCCACAAGTCCCACCCTATCACTATATTTTGTATCATAAGGGGCAAGGTTATAGTTAGGACATGATGCCTCTACAGAGCCAAATAGAGATTATACAAAAAAGTGTGTCTGAATCTGTCTATCTATCTAGCTATCCTCATCATATGGAAAAATGTGGATAGTTATCAGCACAACAGCCTAACAGGCAGGTGTGTGTGTATATATATGTATGTATGTATGTATGTATATGTATGTATGTATGTATGTATGTATGTATGTATGTATGTATGTATGTATGTATGTATGTATGTATGTATGTATGTATGTATGTATGTATGTATGTATGTATGTATATATATATATATATAATGTATGTGTATATATATATATATATATATATATATATATATATATATATATATATATATATATATAATGTATGTGTATATATATATATATATATATATATATATATATATATATATATATATATATATATATATATATAGTATTATATATTTATTTATTATTATATATATATATATATATATATATATATATATATATATATATATATATATATATATATATATAGTATTATATATTTATTTATTATTATATATATATATATATATATATATATATATATATATATATATATATATATATATATATATATATATATATATATATGTATATATGTATATATGTATATATGTATATATGTATATATGTATATATATATATATATATATATATATATATATATATATATATATATATCTTTATATCTATATTTATGTATATATATATATATTTATATATATTTATATATATATATTTATATATATATATATATATATATATATATATATATCTATATATCTATATTTATGTATATATATACATATACATATACATATATATATATACATACCCTTCCCCTGGTGGGGGGGGAAAAGCCAACTTAGTTGGCGGATCCTAAGGATCCTTATCACCCCCCACCAGGGGAAGGGTATATAAGGGAAGGGCAGTAGGGAAGTGAACATAATTATTTTTACTTGGGAAGGTGAATATCCCTTGTTGGGAAGTGACTTTGTGAACTTAAATAAACTTAAGTGAAGGTGATTCTATGGCTAGCGATACGTATCATCAGGAACTTCTGGATTTAATCAACAAAGAAATAGATAAAGGTAAGTAAATGAAGTGGATTAGGAAGTGAGAGAGAATAAGTGAGGAAGCGGAAAAGGAAGTTAGAGAGACAACTTAGTTATATAATTATTAACATTTTTTTTTTTTTTTTTTTTTTTTAGGAGAGGAAGCAAGCTTTGAAGAGTTAGAAGACCTTTGGCAAAAAGTTTTTGAACATTGTCCTGAATTTGTGCCTGATTATAACATACCAAGATATGGATACTGGAACGAATATGCACAACTCTCTGAGGGAGAAAGTATTCCACTCCACACAGATCCAAGAAACTACGGATGCTATAAGAAACAACAGTCCAGTAAGACCAAAAAGATCAGTGAATGCAAATCATCAACTGGAGATACTGGCAAAGGAATTCCATCAATACGATCCAGCCAATTACGATCCGAGGACAGCAATTCCGTTCTTGTTGCAACAAGCACATCAACAACTCCAGAACGGTACCACAGACAGTGTTCGACTAACACTGAAATGGATTCAGAGAGTAACCAACTACTACCAGAACTATGTGGAACATTCACGCCATGGAAAGATCACCCAAACAGCCCAATGGGTAAGATTTGTTCAAGACAAAATACCGGGACTCCTAAGAGCAATCGACGAGTTGAGAAGTTACGGGAGAACACTCCAGAATTGGAGAGGGAGCCTGGAAAGGATATCGGAAACTTGGAAAGATCTAAGGGAAAGATCAAAGTACGGAGCATGGTGGAATCTAGATCACCTAGACAAAGAGTTACATGCAGTGGAAGTCCCGAGAAAAGACCAGGTGAAAAAAATGGGGGAAATGCAGTACTCATTTTTTATATTTTTGTGATATATCTCTGTCCATAGATGGCTCTGCTAGTCCTGATTTCACCTTTCCTTGAATTGGCGGGAAAAAACATATTTTTGCTAGTGCCATAAATATAGATGGTGTTATTTTAACAGCAAATTAGGAAAATGTTAAATATTTTCGTAAATTGATGAAAAGGGTGAACGGGTGAGACAGGCAGTACTTGTAATTGGCTTATTGGATACTTAGTACAAGTGTAGCCATCTATGTGTAAAAACAATCTAACAAGTCGACTCACAGTGGGCATGGCATATACGTACAATGCCATCCCCGGCGGCAATGGGTTAATCCATTCACCCCACGTGGCAAGAATAGATGCCATACCCACTTTGATACACATTTATTTATTGTATTTACATATAGATGGCTCCCGAAGTTCTTAATCACCAAATAGCCAGTTATCAAGGACTACCTATTTCACCTGTTTACCCTTTTCCTTCACTTTAGGAAAGGGTTTTTTGTATTATTTCACTGTCTAAAATATTCTAATGACAATTTAATAAGCATAACATCAATAACAACAATAACAGTATCGATAGCAATGGTATTAATTTTCCCACCAATTCAATGAATGGGAAAATCAGGGTCTGTAACTAGGGCCTACTAATAGACTCCTTGTCGGCTGAGCACATGTGGAGCCATCTGTATGTAACAAAAACTACAGGGGACAGAACATAAATTTGGGGCTTATGGGTTAAAAGGCATGAAAAGTGATAAACGTAACCATCTCTTTTTTATCATATTCTAGCTTCGTAGTGTAATTTAACACCTCAGAGATAAAACCTCCTTAAAATCCATGTAAAATCCTAAGCATTACTTCAAAAAGTAAGTTAATTATGTTCATTTTGTATAATGCACATTTGAGGTGAAAGAAATTCAAATAAATCATCAACTTTTATTTAAAAAGCTAAAGAAATGTTCATTATATTACATCTATTTATATTATACACTTATATACATTTAGCTTCATAAAAGAAAATACATTAAAGCTTGAGGTACCAAGTTTCTATGAGAATTTTTACTAATTTTACAATTTTAATCAATTATTCCATGGCTTCTTTCATAGTCCCGTACTTTTTCATATATGTTATTGTAATACTTTATCTTGGCTACTACTTGTCTTGCAGTGTTTATATCTTCATTTGAAAATGCTGTATCTGCTTCCCTGTAATTGTCAGAGACATACAAATAATAATACATTAAGAAATACTTCTAGTATACACGTGAAGGTGAAGACAAAGTATAAATCAAAACAGACTAACTGAACATAACTGTGACCACTGAAATAAAGTTAATTAATCAATCTTAATCAATCAAGATTATTTACATGACAGTTAGGGATGCGTACAGAATTCCAGGCACTTACTGTAACAAACTGTCTAAGATCCTTTGGTTTTTCTGTCCAATTTCTTGAACAGTTTCTTTGTCATCAGCTTCTGCTAATTCTTCATTTACTTCCATAATTTCCATAAGGAATTCAGGATCCATGTCTATCTAGTAAGTAAAATAAGAATAAGAATTAGAATAAAAAGAAAAGAAAATTGGTTTACAAAAACAATACTTTGATCCCTAAACAGTAGTTGATGTCTTGGAACTTTAGTTTAAGGAAATTAAAATTGATGTTTAACACTGCACTCTGATTTTGTGTGTGTTTTAGATGAAATGGGAATATGGCACAACTGTATACACTCAAACTTGTGCCTCTCCATAGTAGTCAGTGATTTATGGCACACACACCACTGGTTAACTAAAATCATATGCATTATTACTGCTGTTATTATCATTATTCTTATCACTATTATCATCATTATCAGCATCAGAACTACTGCAATCACCATTGTTACCATGGTCAAAACAATTATGCTGAGATGCTTGTCAAAATTGTTGTCCCATATGGATGTTAAATTACACAACCACCTTTCCTTGGGGGATTTTAAAACATTCATATATTTACAAACAACACAAAATCCACAATTATTATGATTTTCATCTCATTTACTGTCTTATCTTTCAATAAATAGGTACTAGGTAATTCTTATTTCAAATTGGAGACAACAAAATGTGAAAACTGTACTTAAGCTCTTGGAACTAGACCATTCATTACAAAAAAAGAAACCAAAACCAAAAATCATCATTGACAATTGTATCACTCTCCATGAAGTGATATTCTGATGCAAGTATAGTTACCTGTCCTTCATGCAAAGGCTGACCAGCAAGTTCAAGCAAATACAAGGCACGTTCAACTGGATGCAACAAACATCGATATGCTTTGTTAATTTGTGAAGAATGATCAGCTGCATACTGCTGTTCTCTCTGAAAAAAAAAAAAAGATCTCTATAGGTAATTATATAATCATGCTAGCATATCTATACAGATAGAATATACAGTGCAAAAAAAATCTAGCACTACCGTTTTAAGTAAATATTATATCTGTTAAGTGAAGATAATTTAAGATATGACAAGAAAGGTAAGTAAGCAAATTTTTTTTGGGGGGCAAAATATGCTGGTCTTTCTTCAGGCATGAAGATACAATACAGTGAAAAGGATTTTTGCTGATTCATGTATTTTCTTGCTCTTCTCCTAGTTGTTTTATTCATGATATGGTCAACATAAATCCTGAGCATAACAGGAAATGATACAGGGCATCTAGAGGTAAAAGGGCAAAGTCACCAAAATCATTTTCACTGTAAATTGTAATCACATTTTAGTATCTGTGTCACACAGCCTTTGAGATACCATGTATATGTTTGTATTCCTTACAGTTGATTGTCTACCAGAAAAAGGGAATATCTTTATATATATGATTGATTTCTGATATGGAAAAAAGTAACTGATCTAACTGAAGGTTCTGAAGAGATTTAATCCATTCCCAACAGGCATGCCATGCCATGCCCACTGTGAGATTACTTGTTCGATTCTTTTTACACATAGATGGCTACACTTGTACTAAATCACCAATGAGCCAGTTACTAGTACTGCCCATCTCGCCCGTTTACCCTTTTCTTTGATTTACAAAATATTTTACGCTATCTTATTTTGCTGTTCCTAATGTTAAAAAACATTATAATAATTATAATGTTTATAATAAAAATAACACCATTGATATTCATGGCACTATTAAAAAATGCGAAATGTACATTGTAATAAATGTGATCAATGTAGCCTGTAGGTTTTTAGCACCCAAGCAAAGGCCATTAATCCTGCACCTCATACATTATGGTAGGAATAACTCTGATAGGCAAGCAAAAAAATTATGCACTATGGGTTTTATCATAGATGAAAGATAGGTGCAATTTTTTATTGTTTTTAATCATTTCAAATATTTCCAATTTTTGACAACTATGTTATAATACAAAACTCACTAAATCCACAAATTTGTCAATTCCAAATACTGTTTACCTTGTAATATATATTTATACCTGAACTTAACCCCTTGGTGCCGGGTATGACGTGTACGTATGTGCTATGCTCACAGTGAGTACTTTTGATTGACAACTATGTTATAATACAAAACTCACTAAATCCACAAATTTGTCAATTCCAAATACTGTTTACCTTGTAATATATATTTATACCTGAACTTAACCCCTTGGTGCCGGGTATGACGTGTACGTATGTGCTATGCTCACAGTGAGTACTTGTTTGATTGTTTTTACGCATAGATGGCAACACTTGTACTAACTCCCCAATGAGCCAGTTACAAGCACCGCCCGTCTCGCCCGTTTACCCGTTTCTTTGATTTACAAAATATTTTACGTAATCTTATTTTGCTGTTACTAATGTTAAAAAAATATATAAAAATTATGATGTTTATGATAAAAATAACACCATCGATTTTCATAGCACTAGTGAAAAATACGTTTTTCCCGCCATTTAAATCAGGCGCTAGCAGAGCCATCTATTGGCAGACATTTCACGAAAAACATAGAAAGTGGGCACAATATTTTCCCCATTTTTTGTTCATTTTCCCCGGCACCATTGGGTTAATATCATGCCAAACTTGCTACACAAAACTCAAACTGTCATCTTTTCTAGATTAGAAAAATTTTGAACAAATACCAATGCACCCTCTTTTATTATATTTATATGCTGAGACACATGCAGTGATAAAGGAAATACATATTACTCTGCAAAATAAGAATAATACAAGTTTAGGTTCCATAAGGTTGAATCATAACTGGGTTCAGAAGGATTATAGCTCTATGAAAGTAAGTTGTATATATAATGTTCAGCATAGTACAGTATAGACATAGAGAATACATAAACCAATGCAAAGTTCCTTAATGATCTTTTGGATGACATGATATTGTGAAACAAATTGGCCAAGGGCTAGGTAATTGGTAAATACTGTCATGGAAAAAGGGTGATGGGATATGCTATCATGAAGAATTTGGTTGTTGTCTGGGGTGAAGGGAATGACTCACCATGAATGCACAAAGCTCAGGGGGGGGGGGGGCTCTGTGGGCATTTTAGAAGGGGATCTAACATTATCTCCATTGGTTAACAAGTGTGGAATGTACCATCTATGAGCCAAAACTGGAGAAGTATTGGCTCTGGGAAGGACACTATTTCCATACTCAAGATCCTATTCCTGCTGCCTGTGACCAGTGCCAAATGGTATATTGTGAAAAATTAAGTATTATGAAAATATAAAAAGATTACACAAATAACAGAATGTTAACCCATTGCCAACCGGAACAGCATGTGCTTAGATGCCATGCCCATTGTGAGTTTACTTGTTTAATTGTTTTTCCACATAGATGGCTACACTTGTGCTAAGTTATGAGTACTGCCTGTTTTGTCCATTCACCCTTTTCATTGATTTACAAAAATATTTTACGTAATCTTATTTTGCTGCTACTGTTTATAGCATTATAGTAATTATAATAATAACATTATAGTAACCACACCAATATTTATCGCACTAGTAAAAAATACGTTTTTCCCGGAATTCAAGGAAAGGCGAAATTAGGTAAGGTCACAAGATCTACTAATTGACTCCTTTTTGGCTATGCACTAACAGAGCCATCAGTGTACAAACATTTCACAAAAATATAAAAAATGAGCACAGCATTTTCCCCATTTTTTATTAATTTTCCCTGGTGGCAACAGGTTAATGACTGAATTATTGACTGCCTATAGAGATGATATAGTTTGTGCAAGGAAAACAGTCTATCAAATGACAAATATATTTGGAAAATAACAAAAAAGCAAAAACACCTAAAAAAGACAGAAAAGAACAAAGAAAGAAAAAAAAATATATATATAACATATAATAATAATGATAATAGCATTACAAGGGGAATGTTCATGTGGGTTGGGCCTACAAGCCACACGCCCAGGAAAGTCAACATTCAAGTAAGCCTAATGCTTTGATTTTAGGCCATGTGCTGGCAACGAGGCACCTGAACCCAGTGGTTATACTATGAAGCTATGCCTGTACAACTAAACCCTAAAAAGTTCTCCAAGTCTACTCTAGGAAGAAGGCTTATACACTTGTATTTTGTTGCCCAATTAAAAATTATCTCTATCTTCACATGTTTCATGTTAATCAGACCATCAACAGTATGTACATCAAAGGGAATGAGCTTGCTGACAGACTAGCCGACATTGGCAGGGGTATGCCCCCAAATCCCATGATCATACAACCAATTCAAAAAATCCTAAAGGAGAAGTGTACTGCAGCCACTCGCACCTTCCTCCTGCAGCTTCACAGAGGGGAATGAGATCCTCCCCCTCGGCCAGCTGGTACTCAGGCGCCACAGGCTATGAACCACTGGCACTCTCTGAAGTAATCAACAAAGGTACCAAAGTCATTCTTCACAGAATCAGACTAGGTTACCACTGTGCATGGCAGATCATAAGAGATAATAGACCATGAAGAGAGGTGTTGTATGCACTGTGGTGAGCCGAATGCCACCCTGGTACATTACTTACAGAATTGTGAGCACAAACAATTCCCAAGACAGGGACCACCCACAACAACCGCTGTGCTGGTAAAGAGATTATGCAGTCTGCTTACATCATGGCAACAGGAGCACCTGCTGGCAATCCCACCGCCACGGTAAGCATTGAGAGTCAGAGAACAAAATGAGACAGCCGTAAAGAGTTGAAACATACCGGGCCATATATGGAAGGCCCGGGCAAAGCTAGAACTTCACAAATCTCAAAGTAGTAGCATCATTATCCGTTCCACCACATATTTATTTAAAGGGACAATAATATATTCTTGGTAAACAAGAACAAAGTACCAAAAACATACAATGTTTTTTTCACATCAACAGAAACTCTGTTGTCTGCCTTTTGACATTTAATATTTCTTGCCATTCAGTTTAATATGAAATTCAAAGTGAAACTTTTTTTTTTTTTTAATATAATATACTAATAGGATACTAAATCAAAAATTACTTTGTATCATGAAAATAATTGACACTACATTCATCATATGAAATAAAAAAGACAGGTTTATTGGCCTTTGCCAGAGCATAAAATATGGGTGTACTTGCTTGGAAAAATTTATCCAGTAGAAATGTTGGTCAATATATAGTATAACGTAGTGGCAGAGTTGGGTAACAAAACCTACATGAAATCATAGAACAATACAAACCAAGACAAAGTTCTTCCATTGCAATAGGTTTGTAAATGCTTCTCAAGGGTGCTATACGTAAAAGAAAAGGGAAGAAGATGGGTTACTTTCGAAACAATTTTGATATTTTTCTACATGAAATCCATTGCTTTCAACGATTCTAGGCATTGTTCCTTGTGCAAATCAGCGACCAAACCCAACATCCAACCTAACCTAACACCGTGGTATATATTCCCTAGCCAGGGGGCTTTGTCCCCTGGACCCTTGGGGTAATATATATACACCTAGCTACCTAGGTGTTAAGAATAATCATGAGTAGTGTTTACATAAGATACTTTTCAACATAATCAGAACACATCAAAGTAACATATTTTCAAAAACAATAATGACAGCTACAAAAGGAGAGACAAAAATTAACAAAATAATGAATGTCATAATGCAGAGGATGTGATAAATGATAATGGAGATCAAATAATGTGGTAATTATTAAGTGGTAACTTTATACACTTGCATTATGAAAAAAACACTATTTTCAGTCATAAATTATTCTGCCTTTACCTTCTTGTTGCTTACCTCTGATTTTAAGGTGAATCTGTCCGGATGAAACTGAGCTTGTAATAATCTAAAAGTCTTGGTTAACTGCTTGGTCTCCATGCCAAACC